TTTTTTTTCTATCATTCCATCAATCATAAAATTTAGTCTTAATGACGAAAAAAAAACTCGAATACAAGAATAAAGGTAGATTCTCAGACCGCGATCAAAATTACGCGTGTCAACGTATTTATTTACCGTACCGCAATTAATTCTACCAAACATTTTTATAACCTGACGATAGTTACGTTATATCAACGAACGACAAGATACGAACAAAAAGATGCACGAACGGACGATATAAGAGACGCCATAAGTTTTAGGTATCGCGACTGAAATCTATACAAATGATCTACTCGCTCAAAGTAGCGAAAGAGAGAAAGCGTTCTAATACGTTCTCCTTAGAGAAAACAAGCTTTTGCTGTATCATTTCATTGCGCATGCGGGCTCGATCGATCTTGAATTTTGTTTCGTAGCGCACGCGCGCGCAGCTCATTCGATTTGTGTTATCATTCCAAGGATTGTATTATACAGAGTAGTTCGTATTTCATGGTATAAACGAGATCAGAGAGATTCTATCAAATTAAACGAAAATATAGAATAAAATTTTTTCACGTGACATTTCGTTTTCGAATAAATTAAGCTTGAAAATATTTCAACACAAGTGAAATTATCTAATTCCTGATTGGATATGAACTGTTAATAAAGGATTATTTTAAATGTGAAAATAAATAGAAAATGTAGAATACATTTTTTTCATTTAAAAATTAATTTTCAAAAAAATCGAATTTAAAAATTCATCGATTCCTTGATTATATTATATTCAATTTAGATTTCCTTACCAACTTTAAACAATTTTATTTAACTTGTATTTGAAAAATTGTCAAATTTCTCCAAAGCAAACGCAAGAAAATTTTTACGCAATTTCATTCAATATTCTTGATTTTCGTTTTATTTCGAATCATAAAGTCTCTCTGATGCTTGTGTTCCCATGAATTTTGGATCACTCTCCATACAAGACGAGACTCGCTTATGGTTACGCGTATAAGTGAACAGAAACAAAAGAAAAAGAATATGAGTGAAACTAGAAGAAACGCCAATTAAATCGATGCATGAAAACGATTGATTCTTCGTCATCATCATCATCATTGTCATCTAGTTACACCAAGTTACACAGACTATCGTATCGCAACGTACAAGCTGAGTTAGAAAAGGACGGCGTCAGAAACGATACTTGTTGCGTTCTCGAAATTCTTTCGTGTATCTTCTTCAATCATTGGCTCGATCAAATGGACATTTATTTTATCCGTTAAAAAAAAAAAAAAACCTAAAAAAATCAGCCTACTTCGCAAGTATTAAGGAAATAACGGTACTTTTTATTCGAATAAAATTTCCTTAAAAAAAATTTGATCTATATTGCACGTTACGATGGTCGCAATTTTTTTCTAAACCGCAAACATCGTGACGTTACATCGTGATCGGTTTTTTTTTGACCGCAACAAAGCAAAACCGCATATAACTTTCAAGTCCGATATTTACACCTTCTTTCTCTCTCTTTCTCTTTCTGCTTCCTTCCCTCTTTCTCTCTCTTTCGCTCTTTTTCTCTTTATTTTTTTCAATCTTGCTTTTACCGTGAAATTACATAAACGAACAAAGATCATAAATATTCGTGAGTAATCGATTTTCACGATTATCTCAGTGTAATATCTATTCGATGGCAAAGAGATCGCAATTTGCCGAGTAATGTTATACATTTCTAATTTTTTTTTCTTTTTTTTTCTTTTTTTTTCTTACACAATGCAAGTCGCAAACTTTTCATAAATATCTTTACCCTGAGCGAAGGTAAAGATTTTTATGCGGCCTGTGATCACGAATCAGAATGAAACGTTACACGGCCAGATTTTTCGATAACTACATATGTATACTTATATGATACTCCGACGACTCAGGGACGATACATTATACATCACTCGCTCCTTTTCTTCGC